ACACCACTAGAATGAACAGCAGTCTGACTTGTCTTATAGCTCTGTCTTTATTTCCCCAGCCTGCCTCAGACTCAGCCCTCTCCAATCTCCAATTTCCAACTCCCCTGTTGATGGTAAGATAAAGGACTTTGACACAGTGACTCTTCCCAACATGACAGGCTTTTTTCTTTCTTGTTCTCTTCCCTGAGTTTAAGAGTTGAATCATGGGTCAGCAGCTTTTAGCAGAACCCCAGACTAGAATTCCAGATGGTGAAGTCAGAAACTATCTCAGCTCATCAATTTAACGAGAGCTGCTGCATATATCCTCAGGCCAAAGCTTCCGGCCGCACCACGGCCCAAATGCTGAACAAATTGAGCATATCTTGTCTAATTGGTTACAGGATGGCCACTATGTACCCTACAAGGAAGATGTCGAGGGGGAAATGATGCAGAGTGGATACTTCTGTTAGGAACCCCAAACTCTGACACGTCATCCTGCAGTATAGGCCAAATGTCCATCTAGGCCTATGGCAGTTTGACAGTGTATTGGACATTCATTTATATGAAGAGAAAAGTTGATGCCATGTTAAAAATTATCAGGGAAATATTCCCAGCAAGAACATTTCTGGCAAGTAAAGTAACAAATTGAGGCAGTAACTGAGAACAGAGCTGACAATGTTGCAATCGGTGGTGATGATGAGCTACTTTTATGTCCATATAAACGGAGATTGAGGTGGATGCCATGTTGAGTTCACTTTCTTCCATGTCTGCTGTTTGTGTCAGTGTTGCCATGAGCACTGAGGAGTTGGCAAGACCAGAAGCAGTACAGATAACCTTAAAAGCTGTCATATATCAAAAACAGTGGGACTGCTCAAGGACTACTTGTGTGATTAAATAGTACAACACATTGGGGTCTATTTGTAACATTTCCATTGGTAGAATACATGTTTCTTCGTTAACATGCTTTGTTTCACCCTATGTTGTTGGTCCAGCAATGAATGATTTAGCTATCGATACTGAAGGCAAAAAATTAAAATTTTAAACATATATCACAAATTTTTTTCTTATGTCAGTCACTCAAGTATCTGAAAATTAGCTGTGTCAATTGTTTGATTGGTAGTTAGTCTTGCCAGCTATCTAAACTTGTAGTAATCATGACCGAATACCGACAGGGCACGGAGGGCATGTGCCCAGGGGCCTTGACCTCCAGGTTTATTTTGCTAGTCATCCTCACTCAGATATCATATTAACATGGCATAAGTCATGGCAAAATGTGTAGAATTGTAGGAATTTTGCTTTAAAACTTCAAAAATGTATCTCTGCCCCATTGCAAAATTAGTAGAATTGCATAATTTGTTTCATAAAATTGCAAACATTTCTCCGCCCCATGGTAAAATGTGTAGAATTGCAGGAAATTAACTTTAAAACGTACATTTTTCTCTCCACTGTCGAGAGGGGCCACTACAATGTTTTGCCGTGAGGTTAAGGGTATTTGGCCACTAACCGAAAGGTCACTGGTTCAAATCCCCGAGCCGACTAGGTGAAAAATCTGTTGATGTGCCCTTGAGCAAGGTACTTAATTGCTCCCGTAAGTTGCTCTGGATAAGAGTGTCTGCCATTTTCTCAAAAGTGGGGTTACAAGTTTATCAACTTTCAAAGCAGAATTACTTTCCCATTACTCCTCAACTGCAGTGTAGGATATACCATTTTCTAGCTCTGAGTCTCTACTTTTATCCAATGTAAAAAACACAATTTCAAATTTTGCTACATAAGACCGAATTGAGGCGGTTGGGCACAAATGACTAAAATGTAAAAAAAGGTTTTAAGAAATGGGGGGCCACACAACCAAATCTCACTTAGGGCCCTCAAGAGGCTAGAGCCGGCCCTGCCTCTGCAATAAGCACTTTTCACAGCAATTTCTGTTCTGCCAGCAAAAGCAGTGAGTCACTGACTCTAACCTCACAAACACTATGTTGTGTTGTGTTTTTCCCTTTGTGTTGCAGTGTGTTTTGATAGAACTCTGATGCAGCATTCTGCTGTGTCTGCCAGCATCCAACCGGCTAAAGCTGGGTCTCCCCAGCTATTTATTACTGAGCTCAGTAAACTCACTGAGGAATACGACCATACAGACACAGGGCCTGACAGATTCCTGGGTCTCTGCCTGGTTGTACAGTTGGACACTGCTTGTTGGGGGTTATGATGAGTGAGGAACACAGTGTGTGTGGGTGTGATGTGTGTTTGTGTATATGGGCAAGCGTCCTTGTTTGTGGGCGTACAGTAGGCTTCACTCCCAGGTGAAGATGGGCCACTAGTGGATGGATTCCTATTCTCTCCCTTACTAAAGTCCTGGATGGGGTTACAGCAGACACAGGGTTGGAAAGGGGAGTTAGTGCACTGTCACAGAAGGGAAAGTAGCCTAACATTTTCTTTGCAGCTGAATGGGCATGATTTGGCAAAAGCCATTACTTTCTGTATCCACTTTTTCACATTCTTCACTTTGCTGGTTGACGAAGTTTATTTCAGACAAGCAATTTACCATTGCTCTGTGACTTAAAATGCATCCATTTACCTTTTGAATGCATTAGACAATTACATTCCTGAAATTCTCAACTGGCCGAGATAGGGTCGTGGTCACGTTCATTCATGGTTGCCGAGTGTCTTTGTGTTACTCTCTTAACTTTGTCAGAGTTCAACCAAGAGTCAGCACCTGTATGTGAGTTTTGCGTGGCCCTTTTTTGGTAGGCTATAAATAGATAAGACTTGGCCATATATACTCCTCTCTAATCGAAACGGAATTCTCACTGTGCTGATGTAGGCTAGCTACATGAATTATTATGAACCACGTGAAGTTTTGACTAGTTCCTCAACTCAGCGGCTGCAGTGCCATCATCAGATGCAAGGGAAAATCGGTAGGCCAGCCCAATTAAATAGCCATAATCCATGCTGTGTTACACTGGGAGCATTTTAGGTGAACATTTAATTTTTTGCAATAGCCTATACCCTTCCGTTATAGAGAAGCTGTTGGATGCTTTCCGATGGCACAATATGTCTCTCTGGAGTCGAGGTAAAGAGGTAGGCTAGGCCTATATGTTTAGTCTTTCAGCGTATTTCTACGTTTTTAAAATAATATAATTCGTTTAGTTTTGGACCAAAAAATTATGTGTTGCCTTTTCTAAGTCATAGCACCGTAGCAAATACCGGTAATTTACACAGGAAGATACTTGGCCATTTATTCATAATCAAGGATGTATAGCCTAACCCTCCATTTCAGTGTCAATGTCACAAACTTGTTTTGACAGAATTTACACAAATAGACATGTCTAGAAATGTCACTTCACCATCGACAAAACATTAATAATAGCCTATAAATGTAGGCCTACTACAAATTGAGGAGCGCAATTTGTAATTATTAATACAAGTATAATATAATATAACACTACAATATAATAATACGTTATTATTATTATTAGTAGTAGGCTAATATTTGTATTATTATAGGCTACTTTGATAAACTTTTAGACTGAGATAATTTCAACTTTTTCGATAAACTTCATAGAATGTTTAGAGATTAAGAAAAATGACAGGAATGATCAGAATACATTTAGTCAAAACAATTAAATATACCAATCAGAAGATAATTGACTAAGGCACCTCTCGAAAAACAAATTGTTTTACCTTTATAGGAGCCGCTTATTTAATCAATGTTAAAACATATTCAGGCTATGACATCATTTTGAGAGACGAGAATGTCACTCCATTGTTCATGTTGTATTTAGGCAAAAAAAAAAATCGTCAATAGACAACTTTGAATGTATTGATGATACAGCCTAGGCTACGTGCAGTGAGGAAGCATATGAGAGACAGCTATGGGCATCTCACCGAACCAAGGCGACATCCTCATCATGTCGCACTATATGAAAAAGAGACATTGATTTAAGTGCGTTAACAAGCTTTAGCTAATGTAAGTGTCTGTTCCAGTTATACATGACCAACAATATGTGAGATGTGAAATTATATTGTTATTTCAGAAGCATATAGCCTACACATGTTGTTGTTCTTCGTATGCAGTAATATAAAGTATGTATCAACATCCCATATGTCCTATTTGTTGGATAAAGCTCATGATTAGAAATAAGCCACCTCAGGAATAAGTTAAACACACAGTAATAATAATTCAAAATCGAACTATTAGGCAACATCCAAAGATTCAATGAATAATCCTGTTCAATTAAAATCAAGCAGTAATATTGGTACTGACAATTTATTTGGACATGCTGCGAAAAGATTAGTGAAAGGATGTACAATTGTATTATTATTTCTAAATCCCCCAACTTCTTTCTATTCAAATGGAGCTTACCTCTCTCTCTCCTCTCTCTCTCTCTCTCTCTCTCTCTCTCTCCTCTCTCTCTCTCTCTCTCTCTCTCTCTCTCTCTCTCTCTCTCTCTCTCTCTCTCTCTCTCTCTCTCTCTCTTACTCACAAACACACACACGAGTGCAGGCTCATTTAGAGTGCACAGAGAGATAGGCGTTTAAAGTGAGGGGCAGTACTAAATTAATGAAGCCCAGCACTCATCCCTCTTGCTCATTGGCCTTGGCTCCTCCTCCAGCCTTCTCACTGGGTCTGTATTTGAGCTTTGTGGGCTCTAAAGAAAACAGACGCATGAGTAAAGGAATAGAGGGCTACCCCTCTCCTCCTGTCTTCCTCTCCCACTCTTTCTCCTCCATTGACAGAGCTGAGAGAACGCTCCCCAGGTTAGACCTCCAGACAGACACCTCTCTCTCTCTCCACTACATGGACTATCTACCACAGCACACAAAACAGACACTTACTATTGTTCGACTTTCGTTTGGGGGGATTTGTGTGTGTTTTCCTTGAAAAAAGCTGTCTTCCTATGCCACAATGAAGCTTTGTTGGACTTAAGTTTCCACAGAACCAGGAGCTGGTACATCAGAACGCCGAAGAAGACTTAGGTCCATTTTCAGAGCGATCCTGTCGGGTTTTTGGACAGACTGGTTTCCAGGTGCGGTTGCTCCAACAGAGATGGGCTCAGACGTGCGTGACCTCAACGCCCTGCTGCCCCCGGTGCCAGCCCTGCCAGGAGGGAACGGGAACTGTACCCTGCCCGTCAGCAGTGCCCCTCAGTGGGGCCCTGTACTGGACTTCCACACTGGCGCCCCCTACAGCTCGCTGGCCCCCCACTCCTTCATCAAGCAGGAGCCCAGCTGGAGCTCTGGGGATCCCCAGGAGGACCCTCACTGTGGCCTGAGTGCCTTCACCCTGCACTTCTCTGGCCAGTTCACTGGCACAGGGGCCTGCAGGTACGGGGCCTTCGGGGCCCCCCCTCCACCCAGTCAGCCCCCACCAAGCCAGCCAAGGATGTTCAGCAACGCACCCTACCTGACCAACTGTATGGACACCCAGCCCCCCTCCAGGAACCAGGGTAAGATCAACCATAATCATCTATTTTGGAGATTAGTGTAGTAAAATGTTATTGTGGTTGCACTAGGACTCGATATTCGGTTTATTCAATATTTTCATTCACAGAAAGATGGCATTTGTTTAGTAGAGTTCAGTATGTTCATTGTAGTTTAAACAGGTGGTATGCTCCTAGTCCTTCTGTATCATTTTGCACAGTTATTGCGCATTTATGTTTTTATTCTTATATGACTATTTCCCTGCCTACAGTTTTTGCTAACTCTGGTGATGTACAGTTGTGTTTAGTTCATGATTAATAAACAAACAAATGAATGATAGATAGACCTGAAAAAAGGTCAGATGAACAGTAAATACATTCATAATGTCAAGCTCATATTGAGGTTTACATTTGTTTAGGTTAAGCTTGTGTTTTATTATGCTATTTTATATGTCATTGTAAATAACTGATCTTATTGCCAGCACAGTACAATTACAATTTGTTGACATTAGTTTACAATGTAGAAAATGTCTGCATTTGATATGCAGTTTTCTTTATTACCTTATAAGAACTTTAAGTAACATGATTGATTTTGTGAGTTTATAATTAGTGCATTATTAGAAACATTGTATTATTTGAACTTTGTGCTGTTTAAATGATTTATCATTACTATATGCTATAGTCAGTCATTTTCATTAGGAATTATATTATGAACTTCTGACATTGCTTTTAAATGAATGTGTCATTCTAACCCAAATTATTTTCAAACAGAATAGATTATTTTCCTTAAACATGGACGCACAATTTGATCTCTGAAATTCTAACAGCAGCTGTGGTATAGTTAAACTGATCATATAGTAGCCAATGAGAGTGTGTAGTTTTCAAAGAAACTTTGCCTTTAGTGTGGACTTTTATTACAATTTATTGTTGCAAATACAAATGTTTAGGAGTCTATGGGTTGAACGGGTATACACATACTAAACATTCAGTATTAACGGCATCAGTATTATGCTGAACTGAACCATTCATTAGCCATGGCATACAGCTACTGTATTGGCTATAGAAGATAATGCTAAATTAATATAAATTAAGGAAAGAAAAGTCTCAGTGACAGAAAATGTAATTACATGTGAACTTGTAGTAAGTTGACATCAACTAATCTCAGTATAACTCCTTAAATCAGTAAAATATTATCTGAAGCTGACCAATTGTGAGTGACATCTACCTGGCTCCTGATTTTCAAGTTTTTTGAAAGTTATATTATTATGACATGAGCTATTTGTAGTCAAGCTCTGCGATTTCTCTTCAGGGCTGCTGGGGTCACCAGTGCTCGCACCCCAAATGTAATCTGTCTGCACTTTGAATGTCGGATTAATTAGAACTAACATCAGTATCAAAAGGCTTGTCCAACCTTCGACCACCTTATCACACCCCTCCTGTGTCTGGCCAAGCAGTGCAAACAAGCCATGGCTAAAACTCAGGCAGGTCACTTTCACTAGATACAGATAATACACTGATGCTCACTGAGGGAGAATGCACTGTACTGGTGATCTGTTTATGGTTACCATGCGAAATGACACAGTCCAAACTAGTTAGTGTGAGGACAGGTATTATGTGTGTATTTGGGTCTGTTTTGTCAATGTACTTGTGCTTGTGTAATTCCATGTGTGTGTGTTGTCTTTACTTGAGTGGAAGAGGAGAGACAGATAATAAACTAGTTAATGAATTATGGTAGGGACTTTCCTTGTACACAATGGTCCAAAACGGAAAATATTTGTGTTACCCTTCAAAACATAACCCTTTTTATTATGTTTAGTTTTTTTAATGAACGTATTGTTTTTAAGTAGGCCTATCATTCAGATATTCCATTGTTGCAAAGTTTTATAAATGACTTCCCTTGATTTACCATGACATCTGTAATACATGGAAATTCTGTAATAGTATGTAAAAGCATAACAATATTTCTTTAAGTATTATTTCAAGATTTGTAGGCTACTTCTAGGCCTGCTTTGTCAAAATGAACAGTAAAAAAGAAGACACTTATCGAAATACAATTACTGGGGAAACAAAGATGGGATTCTGAAGTTATTAATATCTACAGTATATATATAGTCACCGTAAAATTAGTTTTTATTGATGAAAGCACTAATTTATAGAATTAGAAGCTTTGCGTCTGAATATTAATTAGGTTATGGGTTGACTATTCACAATTACTCCTGTAACGTTTTAACACTTTGGTATAACTTTATAATTTATTATTACATAGATACTGTAAGTAATACCCTTAAGGCGGTTGTTCAGTGATTTAGCTTTGATTACTGGTCCTCGTAATAAATGGCTTGTGAATGGTTCATAATATATTTCGCAATGGTTTATAAGAAGTTCATAACCATCAAACCAACAAATAAACTGTTAGAATTAATATTCAACACATTATATTTTAGAAGAGATAAAGGAAACATGTCATATCACTTTGTAGGTGCATTTGGTATTTCTTCACATCCCACTGCACTGCAATGCATAAAACAGACTGGTCTAAGGTGAAGACACTGCCATGCACACAAACTGCCTAGGCAGTGCCCTTCACTATGCCCACTGTGACCCAGACCAGCCCTGTGTAATGTGATGGGGATCAGTCCTCCTCTACTCAGTCAGTCAGACAGGGATGGAAGACAAATAGAGCTCTTTAATGAGTTTTGAGTTAACCCTGCTGGGCCGCTGGTGAAAGTTGCGCTGGTGTGTAATTAATGGCGTTGCTGTTAGCTGGTGTGTAATTAATGGCGTTGCTGTTAGCTGGTGTGTGATTGATCATCTGGTGCCCCACCCTGGGTCAGACATAGGCATGATTCAGCCCTGAACCTGGTGTCAGCCCTCCAGTGTCCTGCCACAGTTTGTTTTCACTCAGGACCCTTTCACTCTCACCCCAACGCGGGGGCGACTGGGGTTCGAGGAGGGAGGGAGGGAATTTACCTACCCATTCAGCACAAATGGTTAGGGCGCTGAATGTTAGCCAATGAGCTAACTCATAATTGATACAGTAACTTTTACCACGTAAACATGTTTTTACCTACTTCCATGTTCTGAAAGTCTATTCATTTAGTTTTTCTAAACCTTTCTTCTTTGTCTTTACAGGTTACAGTGCTTTCGATGGTGTCACTAATTACGGTCACACTCCCACACACCACTCCTCCCAGTTCCTCAACCACTCCTTTAAAGATGAAAACTCCCTCGCTCAGCAGACCAGTATGGGTAAACAGCACAATATTCTCATATCACCTAGATTACTGCAATGTGTGTGTGTGAGTGTGTGTGCGTGCGTGTGCATGTGTGCGTGCATGTGTGAGAGAGAGAGAGAGAGAGAGAGTACATGCTTGTGTGTGTGTGTGTGTGTGCGTGTGTGCGTGCGTGCGTGCGTGCGTGCGTGCGTGCGTGTGTGCGTGTGTGTGTGCGTGTGTGCGTGTGTGTGTGTGTGTGTGTGTGTGTGTGTGTGTGTGTGTGTGTGTGTGAGCGTTCATATGTGTGTGCGTGCATACATGCAAGGATGCTATCTAGAACCTAAAAGGGTTCTTTGGCAGTCCCCATAGGAGAACCCTTTGAAGAACCCTTTTTGGTTCCAGGTAGAACATTTTCCACAGAGGGTTCTACATGTTAAACGTGTATTGTGAACTCCGTACTCCTCACCTAGGGAGTGGCCTCCATCTTAAAGTCACTGTGAGGTTAAGTCTGACACTGACCTTTATGTCAGTGTCATAAATTAATGGCATCTTTTTTTTTATGGTCCTTTTCTTCATCCATGGTCATTATGTTAGTAAACAGCTGGATGTGTGTGTTGCTAATTGTATTAATGTGATGTTGTAAATATTGGGCTCTCTTTATAGAAATTATAACTGGAGGAAACGGCAATACAAGGTTTTTGGAATGTTTAGAACTGCCCTGGGACCCATTCACAACATGTGGAGGCAGAGCCGAAGCAGAGATCCTTCATTTGCACTTTGAAATAGCAAAAAGAGTCAGTGTGCTTTACGGTTTCAAAGAACAGCCTCAGTGCTGTTTATATTCGGACACAGTTCACAGGTTTCTTTCTCAATGTCCCTCTCAGGATAGTTTTTCTTAGAGGAGGCGCTGTCAGACAAACAGCTCCATTGGACCAGGTATGAGTTTCCTGAAAGCTTCGTAGTTAACGTGGTACTTCGAGACCCAGACAGTATAATGTCCTCTTAAGGATCGGACCCTTTTTTTCAATTTTCACCTAAAACGACATACCCAAATCTAACTGGGCTCCCGAGTGGCGCAGCGGTCTAAGGCACTGCATCTCAGTGCTTGAGGCGTCACTACAGACCCCCTTGTTCGATTCCAGGCTGTATCACAACCAGCTGTGATTGGGAGTCCCATAGGGCGGCGCACAATTGGCCCAGTGTCGTCCGGGTTTGGCCGGTGTAGGCCGTCATTGTAAATAAGAATTTGCTCTTAACTGACTTGCCTAGTTAAATAAAGGTAAAATAAAATAAAAAAATAAAACTGCCTGTAGCTCAGGATCTGAAGCAAGGATATGAATATTCTTGATACCATTTGAAAGGAAACACTTTGAAGTTTGTGGAAATGTAAAATTAATGTAGGAGAATATAACACATTAGATCTGGTAAAAGATAATACAAACAAAAAAACATGCATTTTCTAATTTTTTTTTGTTCCATCATCTTTGAAATGCAAGAGAAAGGCCACACATTGCAGTTTAGGCGCAATTTAGATCTTGCCCACTAGATGGCAGCAGTGTGTGTGCAAAGTTTCAGATTGATTCAGTGAAGCATTGCAATACTGGACTATTTTGTATCAAGTCTGCCCAAATGTGCCAAATTGGTCAATTGATACATTTTCAAGTACATAACTATAGAGAACATACACAAATTATATGGTAGTACAAAATGTAAGTTTACACACTCCCAGGAATGTCATTCATGATGGATCATTAGCTTATATACTAACTTTCACATATCTAGATGGCCGGGCGGGGTGGGTGTGGAGCCAGAGACAGCAGGGGTTCAAACTGTAGAACCAAGTTCCTACATTTGAATATCAAACAAAACTATGCTTCATTTTATCTCTGGGACCCTTAGGATGACAAAATCAGAGCAAGATTACTGAATGTAAGTACATTATTTACCTTCAGAGGTGAATGCATCAAACCAGTTGCCGTGATACGTTTTTTGTTGTTGTGCACTCTCCTCAAACAATAGCCTGGTATTTTGTCACTGTAATAGCTACTGTAAATTGGACAGTGCAGTTAGATTAACAATAATTTAAGCTTTCTGCCCATATAAGACATGTCTATGTCCTGGAAAGTTTGCTGTTAGTTACAACAGTCATGCTAATCACATTAGGGCACGTTAGCTCAACCGTCCCATATATGGGACTCTGATCCCGTAGAGGATAAAGTACCACATTAGCTACACATCTATCAGGAAACTTACCCCAGTGCAGTTGTGAAGCACTCCTTAATGTACCATCGCACTGTTTTAATTCTCAATCAGTGGAGTTGGTGGGTAATAATTGTATTTTGTTTGTGTAGGTGAGCAGCCGTATCCTGTCCCTCCACCCGTGTATGGATGCCACACCCCATCAGACAGCTGTACAGGCAGCCAAGCCCTACTGCTGAGGAACCCTTACAACAGGTGAGTACTGGAGCCGCCCCACTACAGTAGATTAACTTGCCCTTACCTGACATCACATCCCTGCCACTCACCTTAGCCACACTCCTATCAGTCACCTTAGCCCCACTCCTATCAGTCACCCTAGCCCCACTCCTATCAGTCACCTTAGCCCCACTCCTATCAGTCACCCTAGCCCCACTCCTATCAGTCACCTTAGCCACACTCCTATCAGTCACCTTAGCCACATTCCTATCATCACCTTAGCCCCACTCCTATCAGTCACCTTAGCCACACTCCTATCAGTCACCTTAGCCACACTCCTATCAGTCACCTTAGCCCCACTCCTATCAGTCACCTTAGCCACACTCCTATCAGTCACCTTAGCCACACTTCTATCAGTCACCTTAGCCCCACCCCAATCAGTCACCTTAGCCCCACTCCTATCAGTTACCTTAGCCACACTCCTATCAGTCACCTTAGCCCCACTCCAATCAGTCACCTTAGCCACACTCCTATCAGTCACCTTAGCCCCACTCCAATCAGTCACCTTAGCCCCACTCCTATCAGGCACCTTAGCCCCACTCCAATCAGTCACCTTAGCCCCACTCCAATCAGTCACCTTAGCCCCACTCCTATCAGTCACCTTAGCCACACTCCTATTAGTCACCTTAGCCCCACTCCTATCAGTCACCTTAGCCACACTCCTATCAGTCACCTTAGCCCCAGTCCAATCAGTCACCTTAGCCCCACTCCTATCAGTCACCTTATCCACACTCCAATCAGTCACCTTATCCCCACTCCAATCAGTCACCTTAGCCCCACTCCTATCAGTCACCTTAGCCACACTCCTATCAGTCACCTTAGCCCCACTCCAATCAGTCACCTTAGCCACACTCCAATCAGTCACCTTAGCCCCACTCCTATCAGTTACCTTAGCCCCACTCCTATCAGCCACCTTAGCCCCACTCATATCAGTCACCTTAGCCACACTCCTATCAGCCACCTTAGCCCCACTCCTATCAGTCACCTTAGCCCCACTCCTATCAGTCACCTTAGCCCCACTCCTATCAGTTACCTTAGCCCCACTCCTATCAGTCACCTTAGCCCCACTCCTATCAGTCACCTTAGCCCCACTCCTATCAGCCACCTTAGCCCCACTCCTATCAGTCACCTTAGCCCCACTCCTATCAGTTACCTTAGCCACACTCCTATCAGTCACCTTAGCCCCACTCCTATCAGTTACCTTAGCCCCACTCCTATCAGTCACCTTAGCCACACTCCTATCAGCACCTTAGCCCCACTCCTATCAGTTACCTTAGCCCCACTCCTATCAGTCACCTTAGCCCCACTCCTATCAGTCACCTTAGCCCCACTCCTATCAGTCACCTTAGCCACACTCCTATCAGTCACCTTAGCCTCACTCCTATCAGTTACCTTAGCCCCACTCCTATCAGTCACCTTAGCCCCACTCCTATCAGTCACCTTAGCCACACTCCTATCAGCACCTTAGCCCCACTCCTATCAGTTACCTTAGCCCCAACCCTGCCAGTCACCGAAGCCTCACTCCTATCAGTCACCTTAGCCCCACTCCTATCAGTTACCTTAGCCCCACTCCTATCAGTCACCTTAGCCCCACTCCTATCAGTTACCTTAGCCCCACTCCTATCAGTTACCTTAGCCCCAACCCTGCCAGTCACCGAAGCCTCACTCCTATCAGTCACCTTAGCCCCACTCCTATCAGTTACCTTAGCCCCACTCCTATCAGTCACCTTAGCCCCACTCCTATCAGTTACCTTAGCCCCAACCCTGCCAGTCACCGAAGCCCTACCCCTTTAGGCCTACCACTCACATGTTGCTCAAAAATCAATTCATTACAAAGCATTCTAACAGGCAGACATCTTAATAAGTAAACATAGTTTTGATGATTCTAGTCCTTGAAGTTAGTTAAAGGTGGTCAGGAAGCTGCACCTTTATAGCTGTCCTGACTGGCCAAGGTTGTGCTGCCGTCATAGAAGGCAATAATCATCATCAACATAGTTCTAAAATTAAATGTAGAAAAGTCACGCCGCCATTGAGCACTCCCAGTGGCTAGAGGAAGGAGGAAGTAAAGTAACAGTGGCAGGAAGTTGGAAGTACGAGACTGTACTGATTTCCAGTCAGGAAATTATCCAAATAAAGGCATTTATCATGTTTGTAGTTATACTTTCAAAACTTTCCATTGGACTGAATCCATTCACTGCTTTTTCAAATCGCAGTCATGACCTGACAAAGAATAAGATAATAGCATATTTACTGTGTTTTATTTATATTTCAAGTATGTTTCATTGAGTTAAATAGTTAAATACAGTATGTAGATGGTATGGATGAGGACCATGTCCAGATAAATGAATCACAGTTGTCCAGACAGAGAATGGGAGCAGTGCTCAGCAGGCCAAGATAAACGATGTAATCCACTACTGGTTTCCAGTCTTAGGCCAATGTTGAATTCCTCTTACTGATAAGTAGCTCACTGTCCTCTGAGGGGAGAGAACCCCAGTGTAACCTTACACAACTGCTTACTCCCTCGCCTTGAGATGGCACAAAATTAGCTTGCATTCCTTGAATACCTTTAACATTTTGTTTTCAGCTCCAGGGAACATAAAGATTCAAAATAAGGGAATAGGAGTTGATAAGAGTGTGTTAGTCAGACTGGATACATGCGCTGGAAGCCCCATTCTGCAGGCTCTGCACCTCATGCTGCCATAAACAGCCTGATATCTGCTGGAGAAGGGAAGGGGCTGGGAATCCTCAAATCAAACCGCTAAGCCGCTCTCTAATCAAATGCCTGGTACCAACAGCGCTGTATTTATACAGTCAGACGGCAGTTATGCACTTTTTAACGTTTTGGAAATACATTAAATAAAAACACGTCCACTTATGAAACTAAGAGCCAGGGAACCAGGGACAAAGTTCTGTTGGGAAGCACTGGTGTAGAGGATGAAGACTGAAACTTTAGAGCTCCTTAAACCAAAACGCCCCTACATTTGGTTATTTTATCAAGAGATTAAAGTCTCAGGTATGTATAGAGCTTGTCATCGAGGACTGTACCAACCATGTACAGTAATGGTTTAGATTGCAAAGTTCACATTAGTGTGCTAATGGATACACTCTTCATCATCCTTTAACCCTCAGGATCCTTTAACCCTCTGTCATCCAAATAGTTGAATTGATTTGAAGTGAAACTCTACCGAGCACTGTACTGTACGTACTGTAATCACTAGACAGAGTGTAGGCTACCGTCAGTGTAGAGGGTACCAGGCACCAGAGCATCCCACTACAGCGAGCTGTTCCTGTGGTATGATAAAACGATGTAATGTCAAGGGCGGCAGTGATACATCTAAAGTATGTGTTTGGCAAAGCACCTGGCAGGTTAACTAATGGTCCTGGAGCCAGACGCTTAATAACAGATGGCTATTTGTTTCTGAGGGATGGAGGGCTATGGAGGGCTATGATTAACACATCACCCTGTTGGTGTTAGTGTGGGCGGATCCTGATTGTGTGGCACATTCATGAGCCGTTACCCAGGGTGCACCTGTGTAGATGGGGCCAAATGTTATAATGCTCTGACTCTCCTGTGGTGCTTGTCTGCACTGAAAAGGGTGGTACCACCTCGTCCCGAGGAAAAATTCCTAAAAATGTTTTCTATTTGTTTAAATCCCAGCAGTGATAATTTATACCAAATGGCATCTCAGCTGGAATGCATGGCATGGAACCCTGTTAACACGCTGGCTTCCACCATTAAGAGGTATGTCGGCGTGACCCGCTCCTGTCATCTGAAACATTCCTCTTTGATGTGGATTAACAGTCATTAATCTGCACATAGTCTCAGAATAGCAGAGGGAGGGGGTGGGTGTAGGTGGTGGAGGGCTCCCTTCATTAAATCACACATTTGACCACTCACTGGCATTGTTTAAATATTTGATTTAGTAGCAGAGTGGGGCTCCACAGGGGGCCTGTGACATACATCATTTCTCACTGAGGTGATTAGAAATAAAAAATATTCCCTCTATCACAGATCACATATGGGTTGTTTTTTTCTTTTTTCTTAGCTAATACCCTCTCTGGCACACACACACACACACACACACACACACACACACACACACACACACACACACACACACACACACACACACACACACACACACACACACACACACACACACACACACACACACACACACACACACACAAACACACACACACACACACACACACACAGTTGGGTGGTGCAGGTAATAGTAAGTATAGTGAGAAAGTATAGAGAGAAAGTATAGAGAGACTGTATAGTGAGAAAGTATAGAGAGAAAGTATAGTGAGAAAGTATAGTGAGAAAGTATAGAGAGAAAGTATAGAGAGACTGTATAGTGAGAAAGTATAGTGAGAAAGTATAGTGAGAAAGTATAGAGAGAAAGTATAGAGAGAAAGTATAAAGAGAAAGTATAGAGAGAAAGTATAGAGAGAAAGTATAGTGAGAAAGTATAGTGAGAAAGTATAGGGAGTGTGACTTTTTTCACGCGACCGGTGATCAGAGTTTACCTACCTATTTCCTTACCACTACATCACTGTCTATAGTTGAGGGGGAAACATACTTTTTTACTTGCTTTACTGCTCTAATGAAAATGTCCTCTTTCATTCTTGCTTTGTTGTCATTTTCAGTGTCCCTCTTTTTCTAACTCCCCTCCTCCCGAACCCTCCCTTTGTTTCTGTCTGTTTTCTCCGGAGATCGTGTGCATGTTAAATTAGCCTCTCTGTTTTGTCTGTCCTGGCTGGGAAATGTATCCTGCTATAATTTTCCCGTGTGGGGCATCAGCCTTGACCACGTGGGACATGTAACGGAGGGGAAGGGCTCTGCACTGAGGAGTAGTGGAAGTGGAATCAGTAGGCCTACACAATGGGATAGCTTTCCCCCTGGGATCCTCCAGCCAGGGATCCAGAGCCAGGGCTTAGTTAGACTGGAGGGGAGGGTCTGACCCTTCAACCACCTCCCCGAAAAAGCCAGCAGAGGCCGGGGTGACTGAATGATTAATCTGCTGCTAAATGAGAGGGACTCTAGTGCTTAGGCTGCGGAAAATCAGACGTGGAGTCTCATCTCCAGGGACGCACGCCAAAGTATGCATGTGCCTCTTCCAGATAAACGCCACCCTCCCCAGCCCCGTCTCCCTCCCCAGCCCGGTCTCCCTCCCCAGCCCGGTCTCCCTCCCCAGCCCTGTCTACCTTCCCAGCCCAGTCTCCCTCCCCAGCCCGGTCTCCCTCCCCAGCCCTGTCTACCTTCCCAGCCCAGTCTCCCTCCCCAGCCCGGTCTCCCTCCCCAGCCCGGTCTCCCTCCCCAGCCCAGTCTCCCTCCCCAGCCCTGTCTACCTTCCCAGCCCAGTCTCCCTCCCCAGTCCCGTCTCCCTTCCCATCCCAGTCTCCCTCCCCAGCTCCATCTCACTCCCCAGGTCCTGGCTGTATACGTTAACGTGAGCCTGAGGTGTTTATCGCCACAACGAATGAGTGAATGAATGAACTGTGGGGAGATTTATTGCAGCATGTAGCTTCACTGTCTCGACTCCGGCTGTCCGTGGAGTCTCATCTCCAGGGACGCACGCCAAAGTATGCATGTGCATCTTCCAGATAAACGGCACCCTCCCCTCCCCAGCCCCGTCTCCCTCCCCAGCCCCGTCTCCCTCCCCAGCCACGTCTCCCTCCCCAACCCATCTCCCTCCCTCCCTCCCCAGCCCAGTCTCCCTCCCCAGCCTAGTCTCCCTCCCCAGCCCTGTCTCCCTCTCCAGCCCCATCTCCCTCCCCAGCCCGGTCTCCCTCCCCAGCCCGGTCTCCCTCCCCAGCCCGGTCTCCCTCTACAGCCCAGTCTGCCTCCCCAGCCCTGTCTCCCTTCCCAGCCCAGTCTCCCTCCCCAGCCCAGTCTCGCTCCCCAGCCCCGTCTCCCTTCCCAGCCCAGTCTCCCTCCCAGCCCAGCACGCCAAAGTATGCATGTGCATCTTCCAGATAAACGGCACCCTCCCCTTCCCAGCCCCGTCTCCCTCCCCAGCCCTGTCTCCCTCCCCAGCCACGTCTCCCTTCCCAGCCCCATCTCTCTCCCTCCCTCCCCAGCCCAGTCTCCCTCCCCAGCCTAGTCTCCCTCCCCAGCCCTGTCTCCCTCCCCAGCCCTGTCTCCCTCCCCATCTCCCTCCCCAGCCCAGTCTCCCTCCCCAGCCTAGTCTCCCTCCCCAGCCCTGTCTCCCTCCCCAGCCCTGTCTCCCTCCCCAGCCCTGTCTCCCTCCCCAGCCCGGTCTCCCTCCCCAGCCCGGTCTCCCTCCCCAGCCCAGTCTCGCTCCCCAGCCCCGTCTCCCTCCCCAGCCCCGTCTCCCTTCCCAGCCCTGTCTCCCTTCCCAGCCCAGTCTCCCTCCCCAGCCCAGTCTGCCTCACCAGCCCAGTCTCCCTCCCCAGCTCCATCTCGCTCCCCAGGTCCTGGCTGTATACGTTAACGTGAGTCTGAGGTGTTTATCGCCACAATGAATGAGTGAATGAATGAACTGTGGGGAGATTTACTGCAGTATGCAGCTTCACTGTCTCGACTCCGGCTGTCCTTGGAAAGAGCAGAGACAAAGACTGCTTTATGCCCTCTCAACCATGTATTCATAATTTAACTGTACAGGATACAACCCCCTCCTTCCATGAAATACAACAATTACAGATTGCTTTTTAAGACTAATGATAGATATTGCCGTCTGGATATTATGAGACTAAATGTGAACCTTAGCTGTCTTGAAATGCTGTAGCTACAGTGTACGTAACTGAACCATCTTCAATTAATGCCTTCAGAGGCTTAATAAGTGTTCAGCAAACATTTCCATTTCTAAAGTAAGTAGGCTAGTACACAATACCGAGAATCGCACACGATCCCTAAACTATGTTTCATACATATTTAATATTTCTGGATATACTACAATTGATCATGGTCCTTTTGTGCAATGTCCTTATCCTGTACCTCTATTTGATTGAGAGTAGTAGGTGGGTGACAACCAGGTCTTGCAGAGTTAACCAGATCCTCTTTGATTTACTAAGACATGCCCTTATTTACTGAAGAAAACTAATATAGTATGCAGCTTGAACGTGTGTTAATCCAGGGTCAAAGAGAGAGGCCTAACCATACGAATAAATCTGCGAATGACAGGAAGTTAACCATTCGTCTTTCCTCTGAGTTCCACTTTGGATGCTTTAGGTGAATATACTGCACTGTGATGCGTAGAGCAATTTGTCCCTATGTCAAAACAAGTTATAGCTGGTGATTTCTCTGCATTTATTTATTCTGTGCATGCTATTGAAATACAATGCCAGTGCAACTTTGCCGAACCTGGCTTAGATATATGAAGAGTGCTAAACCCCTAAATGACAAGCTTTATTTAGGACAGGAGACCCTTTTGAACAACTTTCCCCTGTATTTCAGGAGTGACCATTTACTGCAGTTTTTCAGTACATTTAATGACGTGAAAATAATAGCCATTCATCCTACATTGCATCCTACATTTTCTTGACTTCCACTCTGTTGTTTTTCATCGCTCCTAAAGCTGCTGAATGCTCTTGAACTAACAGCTTTTATGTGAATTGTAATTTGGCAGACAAAAATAGAAAATGGTCACATCATTCCTCACTAAAAATGCTCTTGTGTCTTTCTCTTTGTTGACAGCCATGCTACCGGTTATGAAAGTGACCCCAACACTCCCATGGTGTATAGCTGCAGCACCCAGTACCGCATCCACACACACGGCATCTTCAGAGGCATGCAGGTCAGTTTTCTCCTCTCACGGATTCTTCACACCCAGGTCACACACTCAGATTCCTGCTCTCCATACATAACTTTCCTTATGTGCTCAGGGCCAAGGTCGGAACAAGGAGCACACATACACTCTCGCATGAACACACACGCACATACACTCCCTAAATGCACAAGGTCATCCTCTACTCCCGAGCCCAGGCACTGCACGGGTGCTGGCAGAAGAGGAGGAGGAGGTGGGAGAGACTAGAGAGGTAGAGTCAGAAAACAAGGAGGAAAGAGCCTGACGTAATGAGCAGACTATACGAGAGGAAGCAGGCCTCTGACAGGACAGTTGAGACATTTAAAAGGCATCTCAGGATGAAAATGGAAGAGGAATCACTTTCAAGAAATCCATTAACAATAAAGATAGTTTCCATATGCAGGCCCATGTTAATAAAATCATTAGATCTTAATTAGTGTCCGTCAACAGCTTTAAAGCACAGAGAGCAGAGATTCTCCAGACCTATTCTCATTCAAAATGGAACGTTCGGTATGTCTTTCTCCCTTCTCATTGTTCTCAAGTGAAATGAATTCAGGAAAACCTCATTCACAAAAAAATACATACTTGGAGGAAACATTTGAAATGTATGGTATGGAAAAGTATATTTTTGGAAAGTCAGGTCTAAATGGACATGTCAGTAAGTGTGTTTGTACTCTTGGTGCTCAGAAATGCTTTTATTTGACAATCCCAACATTGGCTCTGCCCCCTCTGTGAAGTGTTGGTGTCTAGATAAGGAACAAGGCAGGCAGTACAGCAGTGCCATGAAACACTGAAATAATTTACTTATCAATAGGCTGCTAACACTATTATTTAGTTCGCCAGTGCCCACAGAGCCCATTACACTAAGCACATCCTAATGAACAGCAGATGGGTATCAGGGTCTGGGGGAGGGAGGAAGGGAGGAGGAGAAGGGGAGAGGGAGGGGGGGCGGGGGGGAAGAAGGGGAGGAGTACAGGGGGGCATGGACAACTGAGATGGGGTCTGCCTAACGTCCGTGACTAACGACTTACGTTTAGAGACTAAATCAGTGGCATGGAGTAAATTTGAGCGATCATTTTACGGCTAATTCCAGTATAATGAGTCCCCCTTAGTGAGATAATCACACTTCTTTTGCCTTGGCCTTTGTTAATTGGTCATTATTTTTGAGTTACCTTTTGCTGTAAGAGACTAGTAGGTAGCTTAGTTACTGTTATCTCTTTGTATGATATGTTGTGGTTCTAAACCTGTACCATCGCTCACTGTGTGTGTGTGTGTGTGTGTGTGTGTGTGTGTGTGTGTGTGTGTGGTGTGTGTGTCGTGTGAGATAATCAACTCTTGCCGAGGGCCTGATTATCTGTAATTATTCGAGTAGTGTGAAGAGACTAGTAGTAGTTCGAGTAAGTACTGAAATGCAATCGTAGTGATGGCAAACCGACATGATCAAGGTTGTGGTGTGGCCAGTGTGTGTGGTGCGGGGTTGAGTGTCCGGTTCTCTGTGTCGTGGTCGTGTGTAGGTGGGTTGCGCAGATCAGGATGTCGCCGCGGTGCCAGAAGCCCCAGCACTTGTTCGCTCAGAGACCAATCACGAGAGGCTTCAGGTGCATACCTGCTGCAACAACGTACGAAACTTCCAGCCCTCAGATGCACGCAGAACACACGTAACCTGCCAGCCACTGTCACTCTCCTACTCTTACATACCACCTGTATCCAGGTGATCCATGTCCGTCTGCGTACCAAAGCCCTCTCCTTCCTCTCCTCCGTTCCCCTCTCTCTACCACCTCTCCCTCTCCATCCTCCATGTCGCAGCAGAACCCTTACCCATCTCAGAGAACACAGCGAAAGACAACACAGGTTTACTCTCTCTCTCGCTCTCTCTCTCTCTCTCTCTTCTCTCTCTCCTCTCTCTCCTCTCTCGCTCCTCTCTCTCTCTCTCTCTCTCTCTCTCTCTCTCTCTCTCTCTCCTCTCTCCCACTCTCTCCAGCCTCTCTCCTCTCTTCTCTCTCTCTCTCTCTTCTCTCTCCCTCCTCTCTCTCTCCTCTCTCCTCTCTCTCTCTCCTCTCTCTCTCCTCTTCTCTCTCTCTCTCTTCTCTCTCCTCTTCTCTCTCTCTTTCCCTTTCCTCCATCTCTCTGCTATCCCTCCATCTCCTCTTTCCTCTCTATGTTAATGGACCACTGTAGCTCTGGCTCTCTTTGGAATGGCCTCCCTCCTGGCCTCTGCTCTACTCTGTCTCTCTCCCTCTGTGTGTGCCTAGGGGTTAAACCGTTCCAGTGTCGAGGACGTGTCAGCAGCAAAGTTCTCACGGTCTGGACCACCTTAAGACCCACACCCGGACTCATACAGGTAAAACAAGTGCGTAAACTTTTATTTTTCCACATCTACTTATCTCTTTTCTGCTTAGAACTTAGTTAGGTACTTCCCTTTTCATGAACAATCAGTATGTAGAGCTCAAGGCTTTGTGGGTTCGATTCCCATGGGGTGCCAGTATAAAAAATTATGTATGCACTCACTAACTGTAAGTCGCTCTGGATAAGAGTGTCTGCTAAATAACTAAAATGTAAATGAAAAAAATGTATTTAAACAAATCTAGGATATGTTATTTTACTGAAAGTGATCTAAAATGATCATAGGAAATTAATTTAATCCCTTCCTCCCCTTCAGTATAATTTAAACCAGATACTACCTAACAGCTCTCTCTCCCTCTCCTAGGCGAGAAGCCGTTCAACTGCAGATGGCCCAACTGTCAGAAGAAGTTTGCCAGGTCTGATGAGCTGGTTCGTCACCACAACATGCACCAGAGGAACCTGACCAAGCTGCAGCTTGCCATCTGAGCCAGATCTGAACCAGACCACTCTGCTCTGCAGACACACTGGCCTCACTGCTCTCAAACACTCTGCCTACATGAGACTTTGAATCTCCATGTCGTTCACCAATGCCTGTAGCACAAAGGGGCAACAGCAGCAAAGCAGGGCTATTCACTAGATAGCACAGCCACAAAGTCAAAAATGTCTGCGTTGTAAAAATCCATAAAAACAACAATTAGCTTTTTGATCTTAATTTAAGGTTAGGGTTAGGTATAAGGTTTTAAAGAAGAGAAATTGTAGAATTTTAAAGAAGAGAAATTGTAGGAATAGGCTGGGTTTATTACCTTGTGGCTGTGGTAAAAGACCAGGAGGCTGACAGTCTTGTTCATCTGCATGTAACTGTACAGCCTCACCAACGGACAGTCCTCCAAACAGCGCCATCCAATGACGGTCCGCCGTCCAGATGCTCTGATCCAGAGGGTTGTTTTAGTAAGACATTTAAAGAGGAAACAAAATAGTTTCTATCTCTTGTTGGTGTTGTATACAGTAGATGTGAATTACTTTATGCCTTTTTTTTCAGTTGTAGTGTTACTTTGAGCAGTTTCAGATTAATTTATAATTTTATCATACTTTTGTGAATTAAAATATCTTTCACTGGAATGATTTCTGGAAAGGGGAACATTATTTTACTTTGGTCCAACAGCATGTTCATCATCGCTTTCGTTCAGTCCACAAATTTGATCTGCACCAAGTAGTTGAATCATAAAGCTACAGTAAGTCTGCTTCGGTCTGTGATGTTGTCTGTAAATATTGTTTCACTTTGACAGTGGATTTTGGGGATGTGAGTTAAAAAATATATGTATCGTCACACTGGCTAAGTGGCCAAGAAGTTGTGGTATTAAATTATGTAAATAATAGTACTGGACAATGGATTGCATCTGAAAAAAATATCCTTGTCATGGAAAAATGTGACTTAACTATTATAGTTTAGACTAGAGCTACTTTGATACATCCAGGAAATGCTTTTTTAAGTGTGTCATAAAACACTTTTCTGTCATGGAAACATTTTTTTACTCTGAAGTGTATTATAAGTATATTATGGTCTGTTCCCCTCTGTTTAAATGGTATTTTTCCCACTGTGTTTATACAGTATATATATATATATGCTTATTCTGTTGTTGTTGTTCCCCCATTGAGTTCTGTATTAAAGTCCTCTTGCAGTGTGTGGCCTGCCTGGGCAGCTGTGTTGGCTCAGGGGCCAGTGTTGAGTTACTTTCACCCTCACTAACAGGGCTGATCAACCGCGCTCCTGAGACCCAATGACCAGACCGTAACCTGACCTTAACCTGACCAGGTCGTGACCGCTCGTAGGTCATCTTACACGAGTCGCCAGAGGAGGCTCATGCTGGCCGGAATAAAAGTAGTTATGATAACAAAACAGAACTCTTTGACTGTAGCTAACATCCGCTGCTTTCTTTATCTCCAACCAGATTCTTTTTAAATTCCTTGGCTTCTGAGTGAAACAGGAGACACAGATAAACATAAACATGTTTTCTCTCAAACTCACTGTTGCTCAGCACTTCATCTTAATCAAGCTAGCTATGCACTCTTTCTGTACTTAGAAAAATTACACACTTTTAATCCCATATTTTGTTTCTCGATCAAGAAAGAAATAACAGCTTTCAGTTGTGAGTTTTTTATCATTTGACATCCATATTTATGCACTGTCGCTGTGAAAACAACAGACAGAAAGCTTGGCATAATGTCAAACGGTACTACAGCTAGTTAGGAAACATCAAGCCTTAAATGAAGATTTTCCTCTCTGATTGGTTGACTGTATCTGATGGTGTTTTATCACGTTGGGGGAATATTGTTGTTGAGATCCTCTTCTTTCTTTAACTATGCGCTTGGCCCCAGTGTTGTGTAAATCAGCTTGACTCTCTCACCCTATTACTCATATATATATAAAAAACCGCTATATCTCAAGTGTGACAGTGGTTAATCTCTGTCCCAGATTTCTGCTCCAAGGCCTTTGAAGAGAGGTGGTTGTTTTTTGTAACTTCAGTGCAGTCCACTTATAAACGTCACAATAGAGGCTGTATTAAAACCCTCCACTTAGAAATAGTACATTCCTTTACATATATGTGGGCTTTCTAAGAGGATAGGGTTGAATGGGAAAGAATACGGATGATTTCAGTGTAGTGTACTGTCGTAGCACAACTTTACAGTACTTTACACACCGCATTCATAGCCTTTTGTGTTGTCTAAGAAGTCATTGTTCATGAGGTTTACCTTCATCATAGAAGGTCATTAACATGTTTACATTACTATCTATGGATTTTAAATGTGCTAGTCATCTAGTTTAGCAGTCATGAGATGTGCAGTATATATAACACATTACAGTAACACTTTAAACCCTCTGAAGACTCAGAAGGTCCTGTGACTGTTGATGAAGAAAATAAAGTGTGGATTTAGGTTCAGATCAGAGAGACGTCTCAGAGGCGTTCTCCTCTATGTCAGTTGACCCAAAGAAACCAAACAATCAACTGATATCTGAAAGAACATGCTAGCATAAACAATATAGTGTACATTTGATGTCTCCATATAGATGTCCCATCTTCCTACAACTTTGAAATCCCCTCAGAATCCTCTCTCGTGCATTTCCAGAATGCAAACGCCATGGCACTGTGTCCAGAGATGTATAACACATATGTTATATTAACTACTCCTCATCCAAACGGCTGCTATGCAAACCATTCAACTGATACAGATGCTGTTCAGAGCATGTACAAATTCAAACCTGGTCCCCATCTTATTTTTAGCACACTAAACCAGTCTTTCTATATAGCAGCTAATTATATCAACCATTAAATATGATATGATATCACTTTATATAATATTAGTGACCTTATTAAACACACAAAATGATTAATTAGAGTTCTAGCTAGGTGATATGGTAAACAGTGTGACCAGTGACCACAGAGAGCGAGTGTGTGGTTGGTGTGTGTTGAGCTTGTAAAGTGCTGGTGGGTGATTCCAACCTGATAAGCCCTTAGCTGCTCCACTGCTCTGCTGGTCAAAGCATCCTGCTGTGTCGCCGACACGTTTACGACCCAGATCAGTGGGCCAGTCTCAGCCCCTCAGTCAAGCCTCTCATTTGATAAGATGAACAGGGAGATGGTGGTGATAAATAATGAGGCCTATTAAAGAGTAAAGACACAGGAGGGAATGTATAGGGTCTTAGTCACTCAGCGTCTGATCGGTTTGTTTATTTGAGGAATAGGTGGTGAGAATGGAGGAGTCTGTCGGCAATTAGAGGCTTAAGGCCTGACGCTGAGAATCTGATCCAAGGAGAGTGGAGAGGATCTGAAGTATCAGTGAGTTGTAAATCTCATGGAGTTACACTTCTACTTCTCACCCCCATCCACACTCACTCTGCCCAAAAACACGTGTACTCCAACCTGCATGGCAATGGAATACATCCACAGAACCTATAACATATAACATCACCTTGAGGTCATAGTCCTTTAGGAGCTCCCTCCAATGTCCTTCATTAACCTTACTTGATTACAAATCATCTGTGGATGCTTTACCTCCTGGATCTAAGGGCCACAATACAATGAAGGATAATTAATGCACTTTGAAAAGAAACATTTCACAAGCAAATGAAGCAATGGATACTAAACACTGCCTTACCTGCAATTTATAGAAGCTCTTCCCTGACAACAAAGGAGAGGGCTGATCATAAACATAAACAAATGCAGAACAGTTTGGATAAAAATGCTGCACATAAATCCTGTTATGATTATGAGAAATGCATTATTGAAGATAGAATGGAAAAGTGAAATCGTTAATAACACTCAAATCCCATATTTTTTCCCCAGGCAGGCGTACAATAAGCTGAGCCCAAACAGGGCTATAATGGAAAAGAGAGAGGGGGAGAGGAGAGGAGAGAGAGAGAGAGGAGAGCGGAGAGAAGAGAGAGAGAGAGAGAGAGAGCGATAGAAGATCGGAGTTAGGAGAGTAAAGAAGTGGAAAGAGGGAAAAGAATGCTGAGAACAGTAAGCTAGAGATCTTTGAGATATAAAGCGAGAGAGGAAGCCGATTAGAGAGATAGAGATAGAGAGGGGCCGAGACCACCCTAGCTGCGCTCTGCTCAGATCTCTCTCTCTCTCTCTCTCCTCTCTTTCTCCCTCCTCTCTCTCCTAGCAGTATATATAATTATACGATCGTTGGTGTTGTGCAGGCCTCTTGGCCACTGGGTAATGTTGTAATGATAGGAGATGATACTGTAGATGTTTGGGCCCTGGTACGGCTTAGCGCCGAGTGGAGTGCTGCCTGTTCCCCTGGTGGCTGCATTCCTTCAGCTCCTGCTGCCTGTCTGAGACATGGGCCAAGGCGTGGCCAGGCAGCACGGGCTGGGACGAGGCAGAGGCCGGGGAAGGTGGTTCTGGAGTGGGGGGGCTGTAGCTAGTTGAGCCTTACACTGTAGTTGTACTTTGATATCAATCAAATCAATGAATCACATTTATTTATAAAGGCCTTTTTACATCAGCAGTTGTCACGAAGTGCTTATACAGAAACCCAGCCTAAAAACCCAGAGAGCAACATTACATTTACATTACAGTTTACATTGCAGTGGCCTTATTAATGTAATTACAGTGTAACATGTATTGTAATTACTCATTGTTATACTGGACTTACACTGTACTTAAAGTTATCTAGGGTTAGTGTTGAGGCTATAGGGTTAGGGTTAAACCGGGAAGTTATCTAGGGTTAGTGTTGAGGCTATAGGGTTAGGGTTAAACCGGGAAGTTATCTAGGGTTAGTGTTGAGGCTATAGGGTTAGGGTTAAACCGGGAAGTTATCTAGGGTTAGTGTTGAGGCTATAGGGTTAGGGTTAAACTGGGAAGTTATCTAGGGTTAGTGTTGAGGCTATAGGGTTAGGGTTAAACCGGGAAGTTATTTAGGGTTAGTGTTGAGGCTATAGGGTTAGGGTTAAACCGGGAAGTTATCTAGGGTTA